GCTGAGCTAGCTACTTCATCTTTCCTAACACCAACTCTTTCTGCAACTGCTTGAGATACATGGTGTAGCTCCCAAGTTACACCTGGGTTTTAATTAACTTATTTTTTATGATCCAGGGACAGAAATAATCAAATTGTTTAATGAAGATTTGGATGTATAATGAGACATAGGGGAGAGAAAGGAGATTAAAATATAGTACTGATTGAATCTGGGAAGAATAATAATTTTCTTTTAGGTGAGAGATTGTGCAGTGCAGTTTAGGTAACTGATAGTAAAATCTTTGACTACTTGGTATGTGCAAGAATGTACACACATGATAAGGAGAATGCAAGTCTTATCATCGGGCCAGGACTGATTGACCTTCTTGGATTTTACAGAAAAGACATTTATAACTTCTGGCTAGAGTTTTACTATAAGAAAGACCTGTATTAAGTTGTTAAGGTGATTAAGTATATTGGATATGGTCAGAAGTTCTTATCACTGATGGTGTGTTATCAGTACCTTTCTTATTCATTAAGTATCTTACCTACTTCCTGTGTTCCTGGTCTGACCATACTAGAACTGCTCATGAAAGTTTAACCAGGGGTTACAGTTTTTTTTAAAAACTGTACTTGAATAAAATAGAATTGTTTTTAGGACTGGCTAACTCCATGGGGATATTCACTGTTCTACTGAGTTATGCAATGAGTCTTTTATCCTTTTTATGCTGCATATTGTTGTTCAGATTTGCAAGAATTAAGGTTATTTTTGCCTTTCTAAGCAATCTTAGACCAGACGATTTCATAACAATGCCTATATTGGAAAGTCTAAATTAGAGATTATCATCATTGTGCGGATGAAGACAAACCAAAATCTGACTAAATTTAGCATTGTTATAATTGAGTAGAAGAGAGCTGAAGCATTTAAAACACTTTGAGATTCTCAAAAGAAAATCATAATTTGAAGTTTATACATTTGGGAACAAATAATTAGCATTCATAGTCACCTAAAAACTTTCAAATAATTTGTAAAAGAAAAAGGACTTTAAGGGAAAATAAACAACTAACATGTGTTTTCTTGT